CATGAGATCATGAAGTGTGTTATAAACGGTCGAAGGAAATTTTGTCAAGCCCAATGGGTACAATATAAGCCCATATTATTTTGGCGCCATCTGAAGCATTTCTCTCCCGCCCAAATTCTCTCTAATAACCTCTGTCAAAGCCTTAACTTCAGAGGTTAGGGCTAATCATCTGCAACTTCGACGAGCGATTCATCTTCTCCAATCTGGTAATAATTACTCATAACAATTTGTTTTTTTTTTGTTTTTAATGGCCGATTAGTAGAATTCTCTTTCTTTTATTGAGTTTTTCAGAGATTCTCAGATTCGTAGATAGTAAAAATGGATACTTCAAGTCCTTCAGCTTTTGTGAACGGAGCTTTCATGAGGCGTTACATCGGTCAGAAAGTCAGAACTGTGGTTCAAGTGATCGGTTCCGATGTCGGATCTGTGGTCGGAAAATCTACTGATGATGTTCAGATCGTTGTTAGAGGATCGCCTCCTACTCCTCTTACTACTTACCTCGAGGTGATCGGAATTGCAGAGAGTGAAAAGACCATTCGAGCTGAAACTTTGACCAATTTTGGAAATAGCTTTGGTAATTCATTGATTTTTAGTCAATTTTGGGGGTTTTCAATCTCTTGGATTGTTCATTTTTATGTGTCTGAATATATTTGGCTTGTTGTTTTGTTTGTTTGTAGATCCAGCCAACTTCAACGAGCTATGTAAGCTAGCAAATGGAGAATTCAAGCACTTGTTCATCTAAAAGATGTTGGCATTGAAGATGATCATCGAAGCGATTCCATTATGCAGTACCTGTTTGATCTCTCAACACTTTCTGGCTCTTAAGATCTGTGTTACTTAATCTATTTAACAACTTCTTAGTCTATTCCAACTAGAATATTAGTATTTTGCTTTCGAACTAGAATATTATCTAAAAATCTTCTTGATAGTTTATACAGACTAGCTATGAATTAGCTCAAAAAGACCCTTTTTTAATACCTTATGTTGAGAGAAAAAGGTTTCTACCACCATAAAATTGGTGTTGCTGGTTATGCAATGTTTTGGTGATAAGTGACAGAAATTTTTGGGCCGCGAAAAGAGAAAATCAGGTACTAGTCTCAGTCCTGCTTCAAGGCTTTTGTAATGAAGGATTTGGCAACCAGAATCCCGATGTAAGCCACCGTTGTGACTGCAATACCTCCAACAAGGACTGCATTGTCGTATACCGAGTGCTGGACTGTGTACACATGCACCTTTATAGTGTTCCAGTTGCTCTCTGTCCAGACTGGATCAACCATCCCCATAGAATCTGATGAGTTTTCAGGCAGAATCGTCCAAGCTTCATTGGCATACTTCAGTCGGGTTGAATAAGCTGGAACATACCTGCCACAACCAGGACTTAATGTGTTATGATTCAAAAAACAAATGGTCAGGCCATATAAATATGATACGGTCAAAACGTTAAAATGTCTCTATTTAGCAAGAACAAGAACAATCCTAGTTTTGTTGAAGAGAACCAATAAATGATCTCCCATACACCTAAATACTCAACATCTGAAGTGGCCGCATGACTAGCTTATGAATCTTAGTTGATGAGTAACTTGCTGATGTGACACCACTAGCTTATGATTTGCATTCCGTTTTAGTACGTAAGGCACAACTTGAGCAAGCAAACTAAAATGCCATTTCCAAGCGAAAAGAGTTTACCTGGTTGTGGAGACAACACATGTTCCCTCCTTGTTGCTCTCTGCTTTGATGCACACTTCGCCTGGTTTGCTACAGACTCCTTTTGAACATACCGAAGCTGTGTTTCCCTTTTGGACAGATGTTCTATCTGCCAGAAAATTCCAAAGGAATCTAGACACATCACCGACATAACCAAGGTAAGGTTTGGAGGAAGGTTCTCCAAGGATGACACCAGCATAGTTGCCTGGGCAAGTGTTTGTTGGTGAGATATAATCTTTCACCAAGTCGCAAGATAATCCCGGTTCACAAGCTAAAAGACAAGTTAAAAGCTCTTCAACGAAAGAAGCATTGACATGGATGGATCCCAGAGCCGAACTGCTTGTGTCTTTGCTGTCACTTGCAAGGATGTAAAGTGTACGGGCCACAATGGAAGCAGCAGCTACTACTGATGAGGAGTTGATATTTGCTGCAATACAATACCAGAAACGATCAGAAAAGCGGAAATTGGGTTTTCGGAGCGAAAAGAAGGGAAAAACAGGCTTCGGCTCTTCTTACATAAGTCATCAAGGTGACTATGGTAGCACTTATTCACAAACTTGGAATCAAAGTCTTCAAGTACAACAGCTGAAGTCTGAGGGTTCTGCAACAATTAATATGATGTTATACCCTTCACTCTAGGCCATTTGAATCAGAATCACAAAAATTAAACAATGAGTATACTTCTCCTTTAATATTCATGATTTCGCAACAAATTTAAATGACATGGAAACATCCATGCGAAGAGATACATCTTTCAGACTCAGAAAACACACTTGAATTGTCTTTCCATCTATTTACTTTGAATACATAGTGTACCTTTCTCATGAATGCCATTAAGGACGAAGGGGGAATTCCAGGGTTTGTAATATCCGCTGGAAGAATTTTGACGTTCTTTGATGCAAGTGAATCCTGAGCTATCTTTAAAGCATCCAGTGTCATGTTTGTAACAGAAGAATCCTAAAGCAGAATACCAAAAGTGGAAGTTAAGTCAGTAACAAAGCCTACGGCAGATTTCACTTGATCTAATGAATGAGGTAAGAGTTTCAGAGTATCAAGAATTTCGTACCCTAGTTTTATGAGCAAAGAAGGTATTCATTCCTCCACTCAAACCTTTTCCAACGGATCCTATTTCAAGCACCTGTTAGATAAAAGAAGACATCAATTTGAATTCAGATCTTTAGATTTAGAGAATTGTGAAACGTCAATTTCACAAGGAACACTAATCAAACAATAATTTTGCTTTCTATGTTACTAAGGAACAAATGAATTAAAGCAACAATGAAACACATGCAATTTTTTTCACAAAAGATTTCATGTATAAGCAACCAAATTTGTTGGATCAGAACAATAAAGGTTACCGTTTCAATTTGAGTATTGCTAAGGCCAGCAACAGCATCTGAGTGCAGATCTAGTTCGTGTAAGAACCTCCTGCTGCCAAGGTAACCCCACGTCTCTCCAGTCAGAACCAAAAATACAAGCTGCAAACATTTAGGATATACACGTAGTGCTATCAGAGTCAAAACACAGCAAACCGCAAGATATACCTCTGGTATCAAAGCTCGAAAACGACAAAAACATGAAATAAAACTAAATCATATGGCACACTGATGTCTGCTAGAGACTTAATATTTGGCGTTTATATTATTTATTGGTACCTGCTTTTTGAGATTACTAAAACCATCAACTCGAGAAAGAGCATCAACTGCTCCCAGAAGAGCTACCAGTCCCTGAAAGTTGGAGAAGTCATTAAGCAATGACTCGGAAAAGAAGAGTAAATAAACATACTCTAGATCAACCCAGAAGCAGTAAATAGCTAGATCTCACAGATATTGGTGAATCTGCACCAAAACTCTTGTCACGGAAAAATGATGCTGAATCCATGGAGGCCACAGTTAGTACAATCGGCTTGTGATTGTTGGAAGACGAAACATTGATTGGTGGAAGTGAAGACCAAACACTGTTCATCATAACAAAGATATTAGAGAACCAAACCTATCCTTTGAAAATTTTATCATATGTTTCGAAATCAGACAGTACTTAAGAGCATCTAAACCTCCTAAAATTTTACCTATATCCGCCCAAGGGGAGGCAAGTTCCTTCCTGTAAACAAGCCTCCGAATTGTGAGTTCCAGCTTTGGTAGTCTAATCCATTGAAAAAGGGGTCAAAATATCACTCACAGTGAAGATTCATAAAGATGTTTAACATTCCAGTGGGCTATATTGCTAAAGCCAAATACCTCCATAACCATATTGAATTCAGCGACGTCACTGGTATAAGTCTTATGGTTCATCTTTTTCTTGGGAAGGAACTGCAAAAATATATTAGGATGCAAGTAAATAGACGAGAACCTCAAAAAGTGAAGCTACCCACATAAATCGGCAACCACACACATTTAAATTGCTACCAACACAACAGAAAACAAAATCTAGCTTCTTGACAAAACCTCATCTAATAAGAACAACAACAGTATCTAATGACGTAGTTGACCAACTGTCTAAACACCATACTTTTGTCTTTCCAACACTCTTTTAAAACTACAGACTTTCTATGTCATGAATTTGCTGTTACCGCAAGACAACTGAAAAGGCAATGGTTGTTTCCAATTGCAGGCTAAGGAAAGGAAAAAAATTGCATTTCAAAAGCTACAAACCCAGCTGCACCCAGCTGGATAAGACAAACATTCCAAGACCAAATTCACCTTCCTATAAATCGGTAGTCAATAATTAGCAAAATTTCTGCAAACTAATTCAGTCTAAAGTAAGAGTAATCATTTCACATGACATTGAAGAGACAGATCTCATGCAACATTTTACAGCCATATTTCTACAAGGAATACTGCTCGTAAGAGTAACAAACAGTCATAATGCCACTCTAAGCCTTTTCCTCGTGTTTCTGAATCATCAATGTGGCTTAAATGTTGGACACCACGAAATAGAAACATTAAAAATTTCCAAAAGAACGCAAGTTTTAAGGATTACCTCCCGCACAGTTGATACACCACTTTCTGACAATAAGTACACAGGAAAATTATAAGCTTTCCACATAATGCTTGATGCCTGCAAATAAAAATGTATAATGTTTTATTATAATGGTCAATGGCTAGAGACCCATAGTCTGCAACTATTCATAAGAACTGCAATCACTTTGTTACGGAAGAAGGATAAGAGGAACTGTCATTTTGTTACGGTAGATATATATGCGACTTATTCATGAACTTCTTTATAAGTGATCATCTGAGTATATATGCATGCATTCCGTTTTAAAAATATATACCAAGAATAAACCACAAGACAAACATTTATGGTGTTTGTGTGTTAGCAAGTAGTTAAGTCTAATTCCAGAAGAAAACAGCAACTCCAACAAAAAAATTGTCAGCGAAGTTGGTGATAAGTGATTAAGATAATTTCCAAAAGACTACAGAAGAGTTCACAAAAAGAAGTAACTTATTCAGACAAAGTTTATGATACCATACAGCTGGATTCCATTTGTACTCAACGTTGGCATAGGGTGAAAACTGTGCTTGGGGAAACTTTTTGTCAGGGGAAAAACCTACAAGAAAGAAGAAGAAAAACACTAGCGCCATGAAGATAGATAATAGGGTATTAAACCTTGCCATTGAGGGAATTAAGAAAACGAATCAATTAATAAGGAAACAGGGATTCATTGGCAGATTCATAAAATACGCGGATTGACATAGTACCTTTTAACTTTTGTTGAAAACTAGATCCTGAATCAACTAGAACACCACCAACTTTGCTAGCAAAGCTCAAATCATTGGACACCCTGAAAAAAGCACCAAAAGAAGTGGTCGTGTCATTTCTATCTTGAGAGAGTGTATAAGCAGTGTAGAAGTCGAATAAATAATGCCATAAGAAAGCCAGAATGCAGGATGTAAAGTGCTTAGAGGTATACCCACTTTTACTTTGTAGTGTGAAAAGGAAGCGTACAAATCCAAACGAATTACAGGTTTCTAAGCAATTACCTAACGCACTCCTGATGCAATAACATCCAATTGACTAAATTTATAGAAGATTTCAAAAATGTTGATAAGAGTGTATATCTATACCAATCTGTTGTGAAGCTATGGAAGCTCACTCCACGGAGCAAAAGATGAAAGCTAAAATTTTCCTTAAAATACTAAAAATGCTTGTGAAAAGGAAACTTTTCAACCTTATCTTTATGTTATTTAAAGGATCTAACTGGCTTTCCGAAAAGGCTGATATGGTGCAATGCATTGCACTAGCTAAAACATGTTTGACGTTAAGTGAGGACTAAAATGAGAACTACACCTAATCCATGCATAGGTATGCACTGGTTAGCGCGAGGTAAAGCACTAATCCACAAGTTAAGAGATTAATTCTAAAATCGAAAAGATGTAAATGACAAATGAGACATGCCTGCTAAAGAAATCTTCCATTTCATCAGCTGTGACCAAAATAGTGTGTGGCTGTTCCAAATCTTTAACGTCCTTTAATAAGATGATTGGAGCCACCACTTTTTTCAAGCCAGGATCTGAGAATTTATCAATATAAAAGTTAAGAGGAATGAATCGACTAATAACAATCAGTTAGGCAGAGGCCCGAAAAAAGGCTTACTGGCACATCCAATCTCTCCAGAAAGATTGAGAAGCCGTACACAAGGATACCCATCAACAGCAACATACATTAGCTTCTGAAGGTCAGGGACAGATTCAATAGATGTTATCTCACCTACACAACAAACAGTGATCGAATACATTAAAACTGGTCTAATCTAGAGTGGAAAAGAGACCTCAAGAAAATCAAAGTAAAAATGGGGATCATTCCACTATGAACTAAAAGCAAATTGTTCTATCAAAATCAACAAAAAAATGAGAGACAATCGATAAGAATCACAAATCCTGAGCACATTTCAACACACAGATTACCAGGGAAAACTCACCTGCGAGAGAGACATGGAGAGGAAGGATTGAAACTAGAACAAGTGTAAAAGCGATAGCAACAAGACGAATAAGTCCCATTTCCATGGCTGCCGCAAGAAAGTTGGAATTCAGTACTTGGAAATCATCGCTGCTGCAGATACAACCAGAAATGTGAGCGATTTCACAAAAAGCTAAAAACCCAGAATCGCAAGAAGCATTTGGTAGAGAAACGAGGGATGAGATAAAAGAGTACCTGGGAAAACGAAAAGGGGATAAAGGTAGAAGAGAGAGAGCTCCGATCGCCGGAGAAAAGAAAAACCTATTTCAGAATTACGCGGTGGTAGTTCGGAGTCAATACTGAGATTTTTCTTGTCGATTCATGACTTTCTTCCACTATTTACTTCATTCGACTTTAAAAAAAAAAATCTCTTTAATCCTTTTATTATAATTCACAAGTCATTCTAACTGCTTCCTTCTTCCTATTAAAATGCCATGTGGCAAAAGTCCCAAAAATGGTCTTTTCAATATTTACAACAAAAAATATACCCGAAAGATATATTTCCTTTTAATTTTTATATTAACATAAATAAAAAACTTCTTTCTTCTAACCGCTCTCTCACGATCTCCAGATTCCCCCACTTCACACTTTCTCTTCAACAATGAAGTTATATAATCTGCAACAAAAGACTTCGACATATTTTTCTCTT